GATACGGCAAAACGGTTGAAATTCTGGCAAACGTAGTGGGTGTCAACTTTTGATTATAAACAATATTACAACATAAAAAAATCAAAAAGTAAGAAAAAAATTTAACATTATTTTATATGGGTAGGAATAAAATTTACCATGAAAAATCGTCTAAGTCCGTAAAAACTATCTAAAAACGCTTATATCTCGAAAACGGCTTGAGATACGGCAAAACGGTTGAAATTCTGGCAAACGTAGTGGGTGTCAACTTTTGATTATAAACAATATTACAACATAAAAAAATCAAAAAGTAAGAAAAAAATTTAACATTATTTTATATGGGTAGGAATAAAATTTACCATGAAAAATCGTCTAAGTCCGTAAAAACTATCTAAAAACGCTTATATCTCGAAAACGGCTTGAGATACGGCAAATGGTTGAAATTCTGGCAAACGTAGTGGGTGTCAACTTTTGATTATAAACAATATTACAACATAAAAAAATCAAAAAGTAAGAAAAAAATTTAACATTATTTTATATAGGTAGGAATAAAATTTACCATGAAAAATCGTCTAAGTCCGTAAACACTATCTAAAAACGCTTATATCTCGAAAACGGCTTGAGATACGGCAAAACGGTTGAAATTCTGGCAAACGTAGTGGGTGTCAACTTTTGATTATAAACAATATTACAACATAAAAAAATCAAAAAGTAAGAAAAAAATTTAACATTATTTTATATGGGTAGGAATAAAATTTACCATGAAAAATCGTCTAAGTCCGTAAAAACTATCTAAAAACGCTTATATCTCGAAAACGGCTTGAGATACAGCAAAACGGTTGAAATTCTGGCAAACGTAGTGGGTGTCAACTTTTGATTATAAACAATATTACAACATAAAAAAATCAAAAAGTAAGAAAAAAATTTAACATTATTTTATATGGGTAGGAATAAAATTTACCATGAAAAATCGTCTAAGTCCGTAAAAACTATCTAAAAACGCTTATATCTCGAAAACGGCTTGAGATACGGCAAAACGGTTGAAATTCTGGCAAACGTAGTGGGTGTCAACTTTTGATTATAAACAATATTACAACATAAAAAAATCAAAAAGTAAGAAAAAAATGTAACATTATTTTATATGGGTAGCATGCATTTTATATGTGGGAGCGCGCCCGAGTTCGCGTGCAAACCTCGCACTGTCAAGTTGATGATTTTGTGAATATACATGCGAATGGATGTGGATTTGAAATAGTAATGGAGTTGTACAATGGTATTGAACATTTATATAGGCTTGTATAGGCCGAGAGCTGGATTTTTAAAAAAGTGGTCAAAAAAAGCTCACCATGTTATTCTTATGGGGAAAACGTGCCTAAAGTGGCTTCTCTTTCTGGGTTCACCACTACTGAACGAGCATGCGAACTGTTTTCTTCATGGTGCGTAAGTAAGAAAGTTACAAAATTACTGGTTGATACTGATTATTACCCTACTGTTTATACGTGTACTCTTGAAAATAACTAACACCTAAAGATACTACGACTACAATCAGCTAGCGCAGTGTTTCCCATTCCGCTCAACGTTTGGGTTTAACCGTTTCCTAACATCTTATCAACAGTCAGTTTGCCAATTAACAATAGGGTACAAGGGTAACAAATAAAACTGTTACTATTCGATTTTCAAATAAAAGCTCAATGGGTTATAACCAGGATAGACTCTGGGGACATTACCTAGAATTTTGAGTTTCACCTAACCTCATTTCCCCTAAAAAAAGTACCGGTGTGTTAGTAAAATTTAATGATTGAGTTTATTGCAGATTGCGGTGAGTTATAGTCTTGAGTTAACTGTTAACTTACACCTAAAACATAAAATTATGGGTTTAGGTTCATGGAATTTAGGGATTACACTATTGGATCATTTATGCCTGGCTGTAATGTTTTGCAACTTTAAAACTAAACTTCACCTACAAATTCATTATCTTAAATTTATATAGGGTTTCTGCACATAAGAAGTGAAATATTGTGTAGAAACATGAAAGCTAATTTCTCCAACTAGGTCCAAACCTTTACAGACATGCATTATTTTCAGCTTTAAAAATGCGAATACCTTCTTCTTTTTAGGTAAAGTGTTTAAAGTGTATTAACATGTGAGATAGTTAGAAAAGTCATTCTACTAGAGTGGAACTGCTGTAACTGTTTTCCGTATCTAGGCTCACATTGGTATTCCAACTCTACGACGGACTATTTGGTATTCAGTCAAAGAATAGACACGTGTAAGGGCAAGGGCTGAGGATAAACCACGTGTAAAAATAGTAATAGGAGTTCATTGGCAGGTGAGAGCAGACGTTTTGGCTCCTTGTCAACCTCGCAGACGGCGGCTGCGTCAGCTGATTTTGACCTGATCCTCCCAGCTGCCAAAATCAGCTGGTGTCATTTGAGAATCTTTTTATCACATAGGCTGTTTGAGTAATAGTTTCGACTATGGAACTTGACATTCCAATGACCATGATGTAGCCATTTTAGAATAAGTACCCCCAGCCAAAGCAAACCTACAGGTGAATTTCCATTTTGTCTATTTGAAGTTATACTCGAATATTGAATATTTCCTTAAACTTGTAAAATTTATTTCAATTTAAAAAATGAAATTTGATTTCATGAGAGGTTGTCTGCTACTAGAAAGGAATACAAATTGGTAAAGTTATAGTATGAAAAAAACAAATTTTCGTAGGCTAATTAGATCAACATAAAATATCCATAAACAAACTACAACAGTGTTGTAATAATCTATGCCTAATCTATGCCTGCCTTCTTTCATATACAGTTTAACTAACATATGTTTTATTAATTATTATGATTTTTGTAAACAGTCCAAATAAATTCACATCTTCTATTTCTATTTTCTCCAAATCACTTCCAAAACATTCAAACATATTTTGAATCTTCAATCGTAATATTGTTAACTTCTATTTTTAACTTAAACGTAGTCAAGTTGTATGTAAATGTCAAATTAAACTTTCAAGCAGTCTCATTCACTAGGAATAGACAACAAATTATCAACTGGACATATTTTCAAAATATTTACTTTTAGATAAAGCTGGGTAAAGAGCCTACTGAAGAGATAGCGCAACCCACCCTAGTATTCCATCTCTTGCCTTGAATTACAGAATTATTCTCTGAGATATTATTTATCTATGCTTAAAAGTAACATACTAACACTAGCTGCAGTTGTAAATAAATACAAGGTTTAAATTGTCTTCATAATCTTAAATTGTCGAACAAAAGCTAAGGAATTAGCAAAGCTAAGTCAATTGCTACAATTGAATTGATGACTTCTGTGGTGGTCTGGTGGTAGACAGTAGGGTCGATATATTAAGTTAATAGTCCATTATTAGAGAACTTGGCTTAAACCGCTGCAATAAAACGAACTATGCCTATGTAAAAATAAACACATAGGCGTGTGAGCATTAATTAAAGATTTAACTGAACTGAAATTTAAATTGGAAATAGTTTGTAAATACCCGCCACAGCAAAGCTGCAGACTAAGCGAATTTCCGTTTACCTTATTTGATTTTCAATTAAATCTAATTCATTAACATTAGGTATAACGATAACCTAGGTTTGCTGCTACAGGGATTATTATAAAGTGAGTTTTTATAACTTGGTGTAAAATAAATAGATTTGCCAAGTTTGATTAAATATATCCATAAACAAGCAAACTACAACAGCTACTTATTCTCCATAAAAATAAATGGGAATTATAAATTTAAATTTTTTTTATTTTCTCCGTAACCAATAACCATACAAAAACACTTCGATGTACTAAATTATTTGTTTTGCTCTAGAAAATGTCTAGAAAAATGGTCTAGAGAGAAATTGGGGAATTTTATGTTTTGAGGTCAAAAATGACAAAACCCATTTTAACCCCCTAAATCCCCCCATAAAACCACGTTACCATGGTCCAATCGTGCTGGTTCGTGAACTCGTTCGAATAAACGTAGGTTTACACGTTGTATTAAATTTCATCGAAATCGGATCATTTTTGCTCGAATTGTCGTACTAACGGACACACACACACATATGAAATTCCTATATATATACATAGGAATCCAAACGGATGGTGTTTTTGGCCTCTGGGGACATCAAAACGAAAAAGTAAATCGGTCCCGGGTCTAGGTCTTACCATGATACCTACCATAATAGCTTACTCCCTATGGTAAGTTCGCTAAAAGCGGACTAAATAAATGTCTATCTCAAACTAATTCATCGATACAAAAAATTTTTATTACCTACGAATAAAAAGAAGATTGTTAATGGAATGTATTTATTGAATAACTATTCGGGTTATTTACTCATGTATTTGAGTGATACCATTTAGTCATAGACTATTACCGTGCAGATACTGTATAGTTGTATAAATAGTCAAAGGTTATACATAGTTTTATCGTCATTTAGGACAGTTGTTCTAATTAAGTAACAAACAGCTAGTATTCGGTCATTACAATAAACTGCATTATTGTTATCCTTATACTACATAAGGACATTTTTCCGATTTGAGTTTTATTATATTTAATCATGAATTTAACGTACAAGTCGACATTCGAAATTCCTTCGTGACCTAGTTCAATGGGCAAACGTATTTATAACTTAGACCTACACTAAAATTATTCAAAAATCCTACCGGAAAACTGAATATAGGCAATGTTTTGTTATTATTTACTTACCACTCTCAAAATATAAATTTTACTTGAAGGTAGCCAGCCTATGATTCACAAACAACCCGCCTCAACGGCTTCATTTGGAATGAGGTACAATTTTGTAAAAACTGTTGTATAGTATCAATATTTTGTACTAGTTAAATGTGAAGAAACGACGATTTATTTTCAAAAGTAACCCCTTATTCACCACCTAACTCCCACTCCTCCCACTACATCTTGAGTCAAGAAGTACTCGAAGTAGTATATAAGTTAACAGTATATAATAAACAAATTCTCAATTTGTAAACATGTTATCAAGTGAGATACTCACATACGCACAGGTTATGGGCGGTGGTGGGCGTCCAGGCCTTATCACTGATAACGACTACGCAGCACACACACACGCACACGCGCTGTAGGTCGGACACGGCGTGACTGAGTGAGAGTGACTGGAGCGGAGCGAGCGCTGCTGCGCTGTTAAGGAGGGGATGGGGATGAGACAGACCCCCCTAGGACCTACAGTCTACAGTCACCGTCCGCCAGACATCAAAAGACCTTCTCGATAATTTTAGAATAGAAGCGCATCCCGCTCCCGAACCAATCACAGAAATAACCTGACTGTCGCATACCGAGACGACTCGCTAGACGGTTGCCCCGATACCTCCTTCCGGTGTATTGGGATCGTTTCCGGTCCTCTGGGAGTAAAACTGTATATGCACACCCTCTAATCGACCCTCATGGAACAGGGCCTAGCATAATTGAAAAAGTCGGTTAAAACGGGAAAACTGTGTAAAACACTGAAAAGAAATACAAAATTGATATTAAACTAATGGAAACCCCGTCTTCATATGGCAATGCTTTTAGAATAATTTTAACAAATTATACTGTTCTCAAGTAGCATGGAATGTATACTAAGAGGGTTACTTTCAAAATGAAGGCTACGAGGGTAAGGGGGGTTTGTTTTACAGTGCGCTGCGTTAGGTTAGGTATGTTAGTTTGGTGGGTGGGCATTAATTGCACCAACTGATCTGAGTCTAGTCGGGTATTCCTGGATTGCGCCAACTACTCTAGAGAGCCACCCGATAAGTTCATTAACTGGACCGCAAGTGGTGGCCCTCTTTGACTGTATAATTGAGTAGGTTAGGTTAGGTTAGGATACGTTAGGATGACACGTAAACAAGGTTATTCCTTCTGCCGGCAACTCACCCCTTCCTGGGTTGGGCTTGGCGTAACTAGGAAACATATTTTGGGACCCTTTGAGGATTTGGCGCAATTAAGGAACTCTTTGGCGCAATTAATGCACGGCCAGTTTGGTTTATGACAAACCACGTGAAAAGAAGGTACGAATACTGATTGAGGTGTTGTTAATTTTCCTCCTATACACAAGGTCACAGAATTCGTTTCTGTAACTTTTACCTTATTTCTCATTATTCAAAACTAAACTGAGCTGAACTATACTAAAAAACCTTATTTCACCTAAACTAACAAAACAACAGCATCGTACTAATGTTATAAAGAAAGGTGGCACTCTTCTAGAAAAGACACAAAAGTGGCTGTATCAACTAAACATGCGCGGGCACGATTCTAATTTATTTCTGTGGTAAAGATGCAAACAGAAATCTCTAGAAAAAATAATATAAATCTCTAATAAAACAAGAAATAGTGTTTTCTAATCATTGATAGTTCTGTAGTATAGTGTAGATTGTCTTGAAACTATAATTATTCGACCTGCACGGTGTTTAACTAAAGAGCAGCGGGTTTAGCAGAAGTAATATGATTCTGGTTCAGTCGTTCAGAAATAGATACACTAACGGCAATTAACCTTGTTATTTTCATGTATAAATTGTATAACAACAAAAGATAACCCCACTTGTGTAGGTGGATTTAAAGTAGCTTTGATCTACCTACACTCAATTTAAATTTGGTTTGCAATTACAAATTCCACGCATATAACTAAGTGTTTTCCTTGTGGAATACATATGAATGTTGCCATTAAATACAGCTCGTATCTATATTTAATTACGGAATTCAACTGTGCATGATTTAAATTATTTTTCAAGTAAGCTACTAATATTACGAATGTTCAAGTAAATGTCATTACACACTGAAAACCCACTTTACACACAGAGGACCACTTAATATTCCGACCACTTGTACTAGTTTCGGAACCTAAAAATGTATCCGTTAACCATTACGAGGTTCATAGGCTACAATAAATTTTTATTTTATATCCACATTGGGAGTGTTGCACGACGTCCAATGATATAAGTCAGTGTCACGAAGTCCAAAATATAATTTTTGAGCTGTTTCACGATGTCCAATATAAAATATTTGACTGCTACACGACGTCAAAATCTCACCATATACAAAAGTACAGTAACTGCAAGAAACATAGTCTATCTACAAGCTTTGGACGTCATAAGATTGGTCGTAGTGCAACGGCGCACTTTACACTTTTATAAACTAGCAGTAGCACCACGTCCAAATCTGCTGTGCCGACTCGACGTCCAATTGCTCAGCGCTGTTGAGCGACGTCCAGAGCTCCTGTATACGGAGCAATGTTGGAGTAGGTTAAGTTAATCTATGATAGTATGCAATGAAGACGGTAAAATAGTAATCACAGTGTGCAGGCGCTCTGGACGTCATGCAACAGCGCTGAGATATTGGACGTTATGCAGCTGGCTTAACAGCGACATTGGACGTGGTGCAATTGCTGATTTTTTTGATTAAAGTGCACTGTTGCACGATAACCAATCACACAACGTCCAAAGCTTGTAGCAAGACTATTTTTTTTTTTTTTTTTTTTTAAGAGGTTGGCGGCCTCTTTTAACCTTGCATTTGCCCGTCCACATAGACTAAGCGCCCGTGCGTGGATCGTTTACAGCAAAGCAAGGAGTGAGCCGGTACAGTACAAAGGTGAACTGTACTGATAAAATGTTATCGGCAGTGACCAGGATCCGAACCCACGACATCGCTGCCTTGGGCCCGAAGTCCGCGACGCTACCGACTGAGCCACCGACTCACTATGTTAATTGCAGTTACTGTACACATTGTGAGATTAAGACGTCATGCAATAGGCATATATTTTATATTGTACTTCGTGCAATGCATCCATTACATTTACTATGTTCTTCCATATTTCCTGGTATACTGAATACTGTGTGTAGTAGAAGTTAGCTAGGGTCATAAACTTAACTTATTTGTACGATATGACTCAGTAATAAGATCATCTCACTCATAGCTTTGTGCATTTGAATAAACACGTAAGTGTGTCAGCGCTCTAATATGATACAAAACAACAAACTCGCTCTTTTTCTATGATTGGACGACGAAGAGTCGTGCAAATAAATGTGATATGAAAATGCATAACAGTATTTTCATATCATTATTGTAAAATATTATAAAAAGGCTTTAAAACTCTGAAAACCTTAAATACTCTCACTTTTATATATTAAAACGGGTTGGAGTTTGGGACCAACCTAAACAACATACTGATATGTTCGATTTCATACCTTGCAAGGATTGTGTGTCACGATCTGATTAGAGTTTTGAATCAATCTTTTAAGTTTGTATGTAAATCAATAATTTATACTAATTTGTAGACGAGCCTTTACTACTTTGCGAACTTTGTTCGCGAATTACCAGCCAGGTAACCTTATTAATGTTTATAAAATGGTTTCGACTGGTTGGTTATGTTGGAGATGGACACCGATTTGAGTTGCTCATCAGCCCAGAATACACACTGTGACTTGCAATAATTTCAGACGGATTTCTCTTTGTATCATTTTGGTTATTTTTAAAACTTCAGTAGGGCCTACATGAATCAAAACCTACAGCATATCATTACTTACAAACAACGTTAACTTGGGTTTGTTTCCAAACTTGCTGCATGTCAAATAAAAACTTTTCATCGTATAATGATAGTGGTAGAACTCTTTTGTGATTTCGTGTTAAGAATAAAATATTGACATCGCTTAAAATATTGCATTATCTTTAAATTGCCGGAAGAAAAAACTAAATTGGTTATAACTACAAGTTAATTAACAATAGCAATTTTTAAAATTCTGGTTGGATTGTGGTATAAAGAAAAAATAGAACTTATCCAGTTTTCAAACTGGAATTATATTAGTTTTGTAGCTAGTGAGGAATCTAACCACATGCATGATCCATATACTTATTTTAATACACTTTAATTCGGCCATACATTTCATCTATCAATGTATATTTTTGTTTCAAATTGTGCAATTTGTGGTAAAATAAATGACGCAATAAGTAAGCCCGTTGACTGCGAGTTCGAAATAGAATGTATTTGGCTGCCTGGGTCATCTCTTTCTCCGTCTCTGGGGATGAGGAAGTAGTATATATTTAGTTGACCTTCTATCACACTTAAACTTTATTTAAGCCCGAAAAAAATCATAAAGCAAAATTTGTGTATCCATAAAACGTCATAGTTCTTTGAATGCAAATTATATATTTTTGTTTAAACATTTTCCGCGATAAAAAATACGCAGCAGACTTCAATGAATAATTGAACTCGATATTGACGTAGTCTTTGATTCGTCATGGCCCCGGGAAACCCAATTGTGTTCCCATTTACGAATTTTTTCACTCTTCATTTCAATATTGAATGTCAGACATTTTGTAAAAAAATCACAATTTCAATTCGGGAGGAAAGTAAATGAAGGGAAGAAATATTTGCATATCAAACATGAAATATTCTCTGGTCCCAAACTGAAAATGAGCCTTATAGAAAATGCTGATATATCAGTGATATAAACACGCCACATGGAAGTTATTAAAACATATAGTAGTTGTCCTATTTACAAACTAAATATTGATAAAATACCTTTTAAAACCATAACTTCATATGGGCAATATATACATGTAAATTTCCCTATAACGTATACTCATCGACACTTTAACATACATACGTTGTTTTCCTAGATGTATTGAATGTTCCAGACGAACCCGCACCAAACTATAATGCAATGCAAAATCTCTACCGAAACCGTATATTATGTAGGAAAATGTTTCAGTAGGGTTTATTCTTTGATATATTTAGTTCATTATTCCACAGAATAAAGCCAGTTATAATTTCAAACTAAATTTTTTTAACGTGATTTAGTACGAGACCTTTAGCCTATAGGTAATGAAGATAACACTTTAGTAAATAAACATTGTACAAATATTTTTTTGTGATTCTAAGATACATAACATTTTGTATTTAATAGACACATATTTTTGTGATGGAAACGTAGGAAAAATGTGTGTAAAAATGCTCAAAATGTTAGGGAAGTGAACATTTTATGGGTTAGAGTAAGAAAACATTTTTGTGATTTAAAAAATAAAAGTTTAAATTCTGTCAAATTAATGAACGGAAAGCAAACTGTATTTCTGTTATCGACATGCTCATCATAACTATGCTTTTACTGATTTAA